CAGTTTTAGTTATTGTCACCAATGGAAAATGTTTTATGACAGAATCAACAACACAAACAGACAATTTCCCTGATATAAATTGACTTTCAATGTGAAAACATAACTTGCATTTCATTATAAATACAATTGATACATTCATTACCTGTAGTCTTTCAAATTCTTTCTTTTTATTAACATCTGACTTCATTGGCTTCTGCAATAGAGACTGCACTTGTTCTGGATTAGTTCTGTGTTGTAAAGATATTATAATATTCATTAAGTTTTCCTAACCTATATTTCATTTCGTTAGCTTTATTATATTTCTTGACCCACAAAGAATGGTCAATAAAGCATTTCCTACTGCATTATACTAATTAATATTATTGATCTTTATTGCAGGTCAAGCCCATAAACATAACAGAAAAATCTAAAATTGACATATAATTTAAAATTATAAAAAATATTCTTGAAATATAGATGGTATTCTACAAAATATGAGTAGGAAAACTAAAACTCATTTTCCTAAGCATAACTTAAAAATTGGCAATGTAACAAAGAAAATGTCTCTGTAATATTAATATTATTATTGTGAGATATATTACATAACATTTCAATGGTGACATAAGGTATGATGTAAATAGACTTTTCAGAGATATGGCCCTGAAACAGCATTCATTAAACAAAATGGCCACCAGTTGGCCATTTTGAATCTAAACAAGCAGCCTATCGGCTGAGATAGCTCCGCTGTTGGCAATGCACATTTCAATTAAAGAACTGAAGACATCATTAGAAAATGAACAGTATGTATAGTATCAAAGCAATCAGACTTACAGTTTTTAACAAGAAGTCGAAAATATCACTTTTTACCAAAAATTACAAAAATATTCACCAAAATTAGAGAATTAAAGATATCATTACAAAATGAACAAATCTGAGAGAGGTCCACATGTAGTACCTATATATGTAATATCAAAGCAATCGGACTTGCGGTTTTTAACAAGAAGTCGAAAATATCACTTTTTACCAAAAATATTCACCAAAATTAGAGAATTGAAGATATCAACATGAAATGAACAAACCTAAGAGAGGTCTACCCAAGGTACATTGTACATATACACCAAGTATCAAAGCATTCAGGCTTGTAGTTTTCAAGAAGAAGTTGAAAAAGTAAAACATTGACACGGACGACGACGGACGACGACGACGGACAATCACTCATATGATAAGCTCCGCTCGACAAAGTCGACAGCGGAGCTAATTAAATAAAAAAAATGAAATGCATCAAGGACGTTTAATGTTACAAGTACATGTGAATTTTGAACAAATTCAATCCATACACAATCTGGTTCAACATGGTGAAAATGCTTGATTTTGCTGAATTGTTAACATTAAAATGGCCACCGTTTGGGCATTTCATAAAACAAATGCATGTGCTCATGTATGATATGTGTAAGTATGAATGTGATCAGTCAAGGAATGTAAGAGATATGGCTTTGGAATAGCTATTATTAAAACAAAATGGTGCCATGTGGAAATTGTGAATTTGATCTGGAACACCACTCTCCCCCCTACCCCTAAAAAGGATGTGTATTAAGGCCCCATTATGCTCAATAGACATAGACATGTACCATGGAGGTAAAAAAAGAAGGAGTCACAGCCAAGCTTAGATCAAAGGTACCAGGATGGTCGCCATTGTTTGTACATATATCAGGGAGTTTATTTTCCGAACGGATCAAGGAGGACAGTTTCCCCTTAGCGAAGTGAGGATTACCGTGAATTAGCATACTATGAACGCCTTCGGCAGCACTCGGTGACAATTCTGTCAAATTCTTATTAAACAAATATGGCGACGATCGATAACGCGCACGAGTTTGACTACGATGCTGAAACATCTATGTCCTTCAATTCAGAAGACTTAAACGAAATCGAAGAGCATATTACAGACGAAAAATTGTTTTTCCATATGTTGTGAACGAAACGATTGCTCAAAAACAAAAAATGCAGCAAATTTCTTGTTGATGCACTGCCGTAGGAAGTAGGACATACAAGGGATATAAACTTCAAAAAGCGTCATTTCGAACCTCAAAATTCAGTCTCTGGTACAACGCGGTGCGGTTCATGCCATGCACCATTGCAAAGATCATTAAACAAGCTTTATTGTGGACTAAAAAACAGTACTAGCAAAATTTCGAAACATTACAATATTGCTGATTCAAAAATAAAACGAAAAATGTGCTGAAAAACGAAAAATTACATAAACTTAACGAGAAATTCTCTGATTTTCAAAATTCCAACTTTCCCGTTCTCACAAACACAATTCCTCTACGTATAAAAGATCTGCGCATGCTTTATGTCTTTTGACATTTACTTTGACACCGTAAAACAAGACCTTGGAGTGTGTACTGTGCGCAGCAACGCTTGAGAGTAAATGACGCGTCGGCGACGATCCTGGGGTGAAAGGACGATAAGACAAAGGGAATTATGGGATAAAACTTGTCTAAAACAAAAGAAGTTTAGGAGGATTATTTTGGCTGTGACTCCTTCTCTTTTTACCTCCATGCATGTACCAAGTTAATATTTAATTTTAATTTAATATGTCCATGTATGACTGAGATCCAGTTTTGGAATGGCAGAAATGCTTGATTTTGATCTTGAATTGTAGTGGTAACAATAGGTTATGTATTTATGTTTAATACAGTTATAAATGTGTCATCTTTTGTTACGTAACCTTTAGTGGCAGATTAAGCAATGTAATCTTTCCCCTCACTACCAGCTGTATAGCAACCAGCTTGTTTATTGGTATAGACAATTTCAAGCCAATGCCAAGGCAGGAAAAGATTACCGGTGCCAATGCTTGATTGCTTTTAAGCTCAATATGTGATTATCTTAGCTAGCGTGGCTAACACCTTGGCACTATATGTATTGCTGCATTACAGATTGAGGGTATTGGCTAGCTGGCTCGACACGCATGGCAGGCATTGTTTCCCCAACCCACCCTCCCTTTTGTTTATTTTATGCTTGTAGTTTTTATAGATCTAGTTTGTAGTTACAGATTTTGAGCTTTGTAGTTTATAGTTTTTTGAGGTACTTTATTACCTCACAGGGATGTATCCTTCCATATGGGGTTTTTCATATGGTGGCTTCTGCGCATGCGCCAACCAAGCGCC